TTCCCTCATACTCTTAGAACCTCCTGTTTCTCTTCCATTCACCCTCTTCTGAATTTAATCTCAGTAAGAGGTCTGGTAAATGTATTCAGAGTAACATCTAAATCTTTGATAAGATGGGTACTTGGGAGTTTGAACAGAAGACAAAATCTTAAGCCAAAATACTCTGTCTCTTAATGGGATTTTAGGCACTAGGAAGTTGTGGTCGACCAAAAAGAAATTTTCTTTTTTTTAATCAGGGGCCTTCTTGGTATCTCATAAATCACATCACATAAGTAGCTGTCCACTGCCTCTCTCTCTCTCTCTCTCTCTCTCTCTCTCTCTATATATATATATATATATATATATATATATATACGTATGTAGGTATGTATATTTTGGCTGCATTGCACAGCATGCGGGATCTTAGTTCCCTGACCAGGGATTGAACCCGTGCCCCCTGCAATGGAAGCGTGGTGTCCTAACCACTGGACTGCCAGGGAATTCCTGACTGCCTCTGTATTGATTAAAGTGTTTGAGATGTAGAATATTTTTAGTATTGGCCTCTGCCTAAGAACCTAGCTGAAAGTTCTTAGCTCCCTTGTAGTCTAGAAAAGTACTTCACAGTAGAGCAATTATTTCCTAGATAATGAGCTTTAAATTTTGTTCCCTTTACTTCTCTTCCAAGACATATTACTGTACTGCTAGGGATGCTCGTAGTACTTCTGAGCACTACTGTATGGTAGGCACTATATAAGCCTCTTGTATATATTGTTTCATGCAGTTTTCACAGCTCCAATAGCTATTATCTCAGTACGTGGGTTAGGAAACCAAGACTGAATTTACAAGTTAAGTAACTCGCATGAAGTCACAAAGGGAGGACTAAGGGTGGCGGGTGGAGCCAGGATTTGTGTCTGAGTCTATATGACGCCAAACCTATTATCCAAGGTCATTACAATTTTAATAATAGTCTTTAATGGAACTTTTAATTCTAATGTTCACATTTCAGTGTGAAATGGTTATTATATTGATGTAAGTCATTTGAGCAGGATTTTTTTTTTTATAAAGATTGCTTTAGCCTTTGTGCCAGATTGTAGTTTCTTATTAGCTGAGACTGCAGTGTTTCCTCTGAGTAAGCTTTACTTCTTCTCTAGTATGTGTTTCTCACTTTGTGTTGAGTACATCTGAAGACATTTATTCTTTGGGTACAAACTCCTGATCTTATATCTAATTGTAAAGGAAACCTGGATAAGTATTAGTTTGAGAGATGTCCTTTTGCCTTTGTTGTTATTGGTTAGATGAAACTGAGAATACAGCAAAACGTGGTTGTGTTATTCTGTCCTGGGCCTGATTTTCTTTTCTCATTTGCTGAATTCTAGGTTTCCACAGTTAATGTTCTTCTTTCCTATCTCCAACCTCAACCCCACTCACTTCCATACCAGGGCTACTACTGTTTACTCTTAGATTGCCCTCCTTCAGACCTGACGTCCAACTCAACATGCCTTGGGAGTTCTGGTGCCCTCACCATCCAGCAATAAGGCAGAAAGAAACCCTGGTTCCAGTCCTAGCATCGCTTGTCTGGGTATATTTTAACATCTTCCTGATATGTCTCCCAACTTCCTGTCCCTGCTCCCTCACCCCCCACCCTCATCCCCTGCAGTCTGTTCATCATGCTAAAACCTAAGTCAGATAAATCTCACATATTGTTGACTGAAAGAAGCCAGGCACACAAATGAATATAATGTACAATTTCATTTACAGGCAGAGACAAAACTAATCTAACACGATAGGTATTCAGAAGTGTGGTTACCTCCGTGAAGTGAGGGTTGCCTGGGAAGGGCATGAGGGAACTTTCTGAGATGATGGAAGTATTTTGTATGTTGGTAGTCATGGTGGATGCATTAGTGGAAACTCATTGAATTGTTTACTTGATATTTGTGTAATTCACTCAAAGTAAATTTTGCATCATTAAAAAAAACAAAGCTAAACAAAGCAAAAGACATTTAAGTTAGAGCATGCCATTTCTCTGTTGAGATCCTCTAATGGCTTCCCATTTCACTCAGAGTAAAAGCCGAGTCCTTGTTGCGACTTACCAGGCCCTACTTGTTCTGGCTCCCTTTTACCTCTCTGACTCTACTCCAGCCACATTGGCTTCTTTCTTCGAGTTCACCAGGTGTTCTTCTGCCTTAGGGCCTTTGCACTTGCTATTCTCTCTGTCTGGGATGCTCGTCCCCCAGATGTCTACTTGATTATCTCTTATTTCCTTTTGGACTTTGCTCACAAGCCCCCTTCTCAGTAAGGCCTTCCCTGGTCATTGTGTATGGGGTATTAACCCCCTCCTCAACAACATTTCTATTATTTTCTTGCTTTATTTTTTTCTCCCTTAGCATTTATCACCTTCCAACATACTTATATTTACTTACTTATATTTAAATACATATATTTACTTATTTATTTTGTTTACTGTCTTCCACTATTGCTGCCAAGGTAGGCCCCACAAGGGCAGATTTGGCCTGTTTTGTTCACTGCTTTTATCTCCAGTATGTATAGATCAGTGCTGGCTCATAGTACACTCTCAATATATATTTGTTGAAAAAATGCTTTCTTTGTTTTATTGTTTTTATTTGCCTTAAATATAACGTATATAAAGTACTTTTCACTATTACCAAAAATAATTGCTAGTTGATATTGGAGATTGATTGAAACCAAACTTTTTTGACAGGACTATCAAAGAGCTGCAGGGCCACCTGGAGTATGAACGACTACGCAGAGAAAAATTAGAATGTCAGCTGGATGAGTATCGAGCAGAGGTGGATCAACTCAGGGAGATGCTGGAAAAAACTCAGGTTCCCAACTTTGCGGCTGTGGTTGGTATCCTTCTTAACACATTTATCTTTCTCAAGAAGTGTATACGAGAGTAGCTAAGAGTACCAGCTTTGGAGGGCGCTATTTGGGTTTGAATCCTGGCTGCAGCCCTTTTTGGACAAGTCATTTAACCTCTCTCTGCCTTATTTGTAAATTGGAGTTAATAACATATTTTCTAGGAGTAAGGAGTAAAGGAATATACATATACACATACATATATATATACACACACCACATTACTCTATAAAACTATATATACATACACATACATATGTGTCTGTCTGTCTATGTATCTACCTATCTATCAGTTGGAATAGCAACCTGGTTCATATGTGTGCAGTGAGTTTTATTCTTATTATTGTATCATGTAAGGAAAAAAATTTTATAAGAGTAATCAATAAGAATTCTGAGACAGCTATGGAGTATGTATGTTTTAATTCTAAATATCCAAAATAAACTGCTCTAAAAAGAAACTGACATGAGAAACAGATAACAAAGAACAAATGAAGAAAAGCAGGTGGAGTATAGAAAAGAGTGAAAGTGACAGCAAGAAACCCCCAGTGGTGCTTGTATTTCAGGCTATCCAGTCTCAGTAGAGCAGTCAGAAAGCTCACCAGGGAAACTTTGACTGTCACTCTCCTCTGCTCTGAAGATGTGGCCTCTGTGGACAGTTCATGTGACATAGTGTAGGGATTCAGGTACGTTTCATATTTTCCTTCCATAGGGAATTTTTTTCTTCAGTCCTCGTGGGTAAGTTAATTTTGTTCCAGATCTACATCACCTCAAATATGATATATAATAAAAACTTCCTGGCTTCTTTTTATTTTGTACAAACTAATCATTAGTCTCTTTAATAACCACTTAAAAAGTATTAATATATGTGCTTATTGTAAAATGTTAAAAACAGGGCCGATGCTCCTCCCCATTATCAAGTTCCACTCTCCAGAGGAAGCCGCTATTAATGGTTTGGTCTCATATTAGACAACATTCTGTTCATCTGCAAACGTGTGTATTTCTGTATACAAATTCACTTTCTCTGGGTTTTGGTATCTCACCAGTGCTTAATTTTCCAAGGGATAGAAATAATCAGCATAATTAATCCATTATCTTCATTTTTGCAGTGACCATCTTATACCACGTTTAGCCTCTGGGGACACTTTAGTATGGAGAGGCTGGCTGGGGCAGTCATGTGGTGTTGGCTAGCGGACATACACCTTTTATAAACTACCACTGACACTCCAGATCCGCTCCCTCTCCACCTTGTGGCAGCAACTCTGCCTATTCTAGTCTCCTCAGAGGCAAGAACATACATTGTTCTTTGCTAGCTAGCTAAGCTGCCTAGATCTTTTGGAGATCACCCGAGCTGCACACCTTTTGAGTCAATCCAGATTGATGGTCTACATAGAAAATGTTTGGTTTTTAGCTATTTAAAATTATTCTTTTCTTGCCCAGAAATGTCTGTTCCCAAGGTGGTTTGATGTCATACACTAATAGAGCACATCCTTCCTAAGACCTTGCTCTCTACCAACAATGTGTAGCTTTCAGGAGCGCTGACTCAAGGTCCCTGTACTCTGGGCCCATCGTTTTTTGCGGTCCTGCTGTAGGTTACATGAGTTTTTGTAAATGAGCAAATGTCACTGACCTCTCATGGCAGCTGCTTATTTTCTGTTCTGCAAAAGCTTCTGGGTCTCAATTTCCTCATCTTTAAAATGAGGATAACACCTACTTCATGGGATGGTATTGATGTTAGAAGAAATACTGTGTAGAACTCCTGAGGTATTTTCTGTCTACTGGTATTCATGGTATTCTCCCTTCCTCATATCCTTTTCTTTTTTTTCCTTTCTTTCAATTTTCTACATTTGAGTTGTATAAACAGTCAGTGGATAAATGTGTGTAGCCCTATGCATCTGAAAAGAGGAGGAATTAGTTTACTGTGGAGTCTTAATATGTAAAGTATAAATAAAATGAACTTTTGATTCAGTGCTCATTTATATGGAGGCTTCAAGAAGCTCTAAATCTCTCTTGCCACCTGCTGGTAAGGACATATGGTTGCATATGACTTTTTCCCCTGTAAAAGAATCTGCAAGAGCATAATTTTTAGCCAGAAAAAAAATTCCTAGGATAGTCTGACATAATGCACTTAAATAGGTTTTTTATAATTGGTTCTGATAATACATTTTTATAGTGCTTTCTCACATATTGCCTCAGCCTGCTTTAACCCACTTCACCAGCCTTATTGTTTTCTAGTCTCCTACACGTCGCCTACCTTTTCTGAACTTGCCCCACACTTTCCCACCCCCAAGCCTTTGCTCGTTTTGTCCATATACCTTGAAGCCTTTCTGTCAACTCTGCCTCTAAAAATCCTCTTTAGGAACCATCTTGTTCATCAACTTTGTCCTAACCCCCCTGACCACAAATGATCTCTCCTCCTTTCAGCAAGCACTTTGTACTGCTCTGAGGGCACCTCATCATTTGTATTATAGTTTAATTGGCTACTTTACACACAGCACTGAAAATTTAAGTTCTGTGAGATCATCTAACTTGCCTTGATTAATAGCATCATCATCATTAACAGTTACTGAGTACTTGCTATGTGTTGTGCTCAGTGCCAGGAACTTTATATCTGGCAGATGTTATTATCTTCATTTTACAAATAACAAACCAAATCTCAGAGAAAATAAGGAATTCGCGTAAAGTCACGCAGCTTGTTAGATGGGCAGCCATGATTTGAACCTAACTGCCTAACCCCCTTTTAGTGACACTTGTTACTGCCAGTATAGCCCCTTTGCCCTTCCAGCTCACTCACTGTGCTTATGAGAAGATTTAGTTTGAAAAACTGGTCTTTAAAATTTTTTTTTTTTTAAAGACGATGTTGGGGGTAGGAGTTTATTAATTTTATTTATTTATTTTTGCTGTGTTGGGTCTTCATTTCTGTGCAAGGGCTTTCTCCAGTTGTGGCAAGTGGGGGCCACTCTTCATCACAGTGCGCGGGCCTCTCACTATTGTGGCCTCTCTTGTTGCGGAGCATAGGCTCCAGACTCGCAGGCTCAGTAGTTGTGGCTCATGGGCCCAGTCGCTCCGCGGCATGTGGGATCCTCCCAGACCAGCGCTTGAACCCGTGTCCCCTGCATTAGCAGGCAGACTCTCAACCACTGCGCCACCAGGGAAGCCCGGTCTTTAAAATTTTTGATGTTAGGTCTTCAAATAAGTGAATTTATTTATGAAAATTTAAATATAAAATTTATAGTAATTTGATAAAATGTTACTTATACTGGAATTATACACAGTAATTCAAACATTTATTTCAAGATATGTCTTAAATACAAAGTTGAGGTGATGAAGCTTCCAAAAGATAACACAGTGGGATATCTTTGTGACCTTGGGGTAGAAAAAAATTGATAGATTTGACTTTATTAAAATAAGACTTCACTTTATCAAGGACAACATTAATAAAGGCAAGCCAAAGAGTAGGAAAATATATCTCCTTCCTTATTTTCCTTCCTTCTATCCAAAAGCACAAAGAACTTACACAAACCAGTATGAAAAAGACAACCCAGTAAAAAACCGGGCAAGACATGATCAGGCACTTCACAAAATAAGATATCCAAGTGGCCAATAAACATGAAAATGTACTCACAAGTGTTACCAGAATTATTAGTTATCACAAATATAAATTAACACCCAACAAGATGTCAATATACCACCAAAATGGCTAAAACAATACAAAACAGACATTACCAAGTATTGATGGGGATGTAGAGCAAGTGGAACTCTTATTCACCACTGGTGGAGTGTAAACTGATTTTAATCACTTGGGACAATTGTTTGGCCATATTGAGTACAGCTGAACATATACACATCTGTGACTCAGTTCCCAGTGCAATGAGTGCATGTCTCTTGATGTACACAGATGGGCACCAAAAGACATGAACAAGAATATTCATATTACATTATAAATATCCCCTAAACTAGATAAAAAATTCTATCAACAGTAAGAATAAATACATTTTGGTATAATCATACAATGGAATATTATAAAACAATGGAAATGTATGAATTACTGCTCTACACATCACTATGGGTCAATTTCACAAACATAATGCTGAGCAAAAGAAAACTACAGTATGATGCCATGCAGTCCCAAAATATGTAAAATAAATCAAGTTAATAGTGCCCGGGAGGAGGCAAATGGATGCTTCTGGGATACAGGTAATGTGGTGTTTCTTGTTCAATTTCTTGATTTCAGTTGTGGTCACACTGGGTGTTTTCACTTTGTAAAGATTCATCACACTGTACACTTTTTGGGGTGCTCTTTGATAGGTGTATTGTACTTAAATAAAAATGTTTACTTAAAAAACGTAAATTAGATGGGAACTGTAATAGCTTTGGTAGAGATGTCTGTCTACAGATTGATGCAGCACTGAACTTCTCATAGCTTCCATCTCCAAAACCAGTATCATTCGAGAAGTCGTTGGTCTAAAGCTTCGGGCCATGCTTGCTAATCAAGAACAGCCAACCTGGAACTGTTAATATTCTATGAATACGTCTGTGTTTAACTTACCCTTGTTTTCTATCTCTGCTGGGCTTCACCGTGTCCTCTGACATTCTAGCCTGTGAGCCTGTAAGGGTCCTTGGAGCAATCTGAGGGCTTAAGTGAGTTTTTCCAATCTGAGCTGTCTAAGGAAGTTCTAGAAGTTTGTGATTTCTCTCTCTAGTTGGTTACTGCTTTGACACTCTGATAAGAGACTGTTCTGGTAATCAAAGTGGGATTTACCTCCCTTTAGTTGTGTATGCTTCCCAAAACTTATCAGATTGCATGAAATTGTTTTAAAAACAAGAATTCCATATTACCCAGGCAATAATTTTTAGACACATAACCTGTCAACAGTTTCACGCAGTATTATTAATCTCTTCAACAAACCTGTAAATTCTTTCAGATGGAAACCGGTTAATATTTAAAATATATACATTTTCACATGGGGTGGTGGTTTAATTTACACTTAGAATTGCTTTAGGTACCTAAGCACCATGATTCATGTGTTTAATATCTCAGTATTGCAGTTCTCTTTTCCTGAGTTTGGGAGAAAACACATATTAGGGAGAAATATATTTCTGGCTATAATTTATGATGAGGAAATGAGTAATCTTGGTGAAGAATGTTCCCCAAATGCAGAAACTTCTGGAATTTGAAAGTTTGGAACTTTCAATGAACACTTACTGGAGGCCTGTTGAGTGCCAAGCACATATTTTCTTTTGAACTATTTTACAGTAAGGTTTGCTTGGTTTGATAGAACAACGTACATATTTGATGTTAGTAGATGCTTTGGTATTTGACCACTATTTCTAGAGTATTTGGGATTGTTTAAACTCCTTTAGGAGTTAGCATATATGAAAAGTAAAGGAAAATAAATATTAACTGTTTCTGAAAGTCTGGTAACTATTAAGCACTAGAAAATTGGCTACCTCTGACAAGTAGCTTCCTCTCTTTTCCTACATTTTCTATATTCTTTCTCTAATTCTATCTATCTAGATGGATGAGGTTAATAAACTCCTGCCCTACCTCAGTGTTCTTCTTTCGTAGACATTTTTGCATTCATCCCCTAATGATCTTGAGGACCTCTTGAAAGCTGGGGAGTGAACTGAGCACCTCTTTTATATCTGCTATTCTACCACAGACTCCTGAGTGGGAACCAGATCTCATTCCTTTTTGTATACCTGTAGCACAGTATACACAGTATACAGTGTAGTTTTAGGAACTGAATGAGCAAATTTTTTGCTGGAAGACAGGATGGAGGAATGGTTACAACATGAACTTTGGTGTTGGACAAAATTTGGATTTGAATCCTGCCATTTACTTAGTTTTGTGACCTTGGGAAAAGTTGATTAACGTCTTTGACTTCTGTCCTTGTATCTATAAAATGTTGGTAATACAACCTACTTCACCTTGTTACATATGTAAAGTATGAAATACAGTGGGTACCATATGCTAAGCCCCAGTAAAAGGTTTGTTGTTACTGGTCTTCAGACTGGTTGGCAAGCTTTCTCAAGAGAAGGGACAGTCATATTGCCCTATGCTCACCAGTGCCTGGCCACCATAAGGGAGGGCCAGCAGATTTCCCCATCTATTCCTTTCTCAAGGGGGAGGGAACATGTGTGGTTCTGTTTTCCTGGGTGGTGGTGGAAAAACAGCAGTTTGCTTCTATGTTCACACACTAGTATGAGTTAAGCTGACTTACCTCATTAGCAAAGGTGTAGGTGGGAACACCTTGGGGAATCCTACCTCCAGCCAGGGGCTCTCCTGATGGACATGTGGCCTTGTGATGTTCCTGAAACTCCTGCATTCAGATCTGTCCTGCCCAACTGGGTGCAGAGCACTTTTCTGACTATAAGAATTATTCAAAGATGACTGACATCTAGTGAGGATCCACTGTGTTTCTAGTCCTCTCTTACTCCTTCCCAGAGCATTTATTAAGAATCTTCTGTGCTAGATACTGAGAGTACCACAACAGATGAGAAATATTCAGAAACAGTGTGTGGCAGGGCAAAGTGAAAGAGACGAGCAGTTGAGCGATGTTTTGTGAACAGAGAAGGAAATACAGGATCCAGGAAATGTGATTCCTAACAGAATGGGGCTTGCAAAGAATCCACAGGATGCCATGCTAATGCTTTGTGTTATTTTGTTTAGCAATGTGTTGTAAAATGTTGATCTAAAATAGAAGCAGAAACAACAAGGTGTAAAATAGAAGCAGAAACAACAAGGTGTTCTGTGTGGGGGATGTATGAGGTAAAGGTAGGACTGGATGATTTCTCAAGGTGCCTCCCAGTCTGATGAATAAGCACAATATGAACTGGTGCTTCTGATATAAGTATTTACACAAAATTCTAAAAGAAATGTAAACCAGAGTTGAAAATGTTGTCATGGTTAAATTTTTTCTTTTGGAACAGTAACGTAGAAAGACAAAAATGTGTCTAGTATAGAAATCTTTATTTGGCTCTCTTTTCCTTTGTAGGAAGATGACCCTTCTTGTGAGTCAAGCAAAGAGAAGAGGCGAGTGAAGAAAAAGGTGTCTTCTGGGGGAGTTTTTGTGAAAAGGTACTAATCAGTGAAATAACTTTAAATAAACCTGCTTGATTTTTATTTTTAAATTGATATAAATGTAAATCTATAAATTCTTCTCAGAATTACTCAGACATGCTGTTATTACAATGCTGAAGGCAGAAATGTATAACGTCAAAGGGATTAAAATTACATGGACTCAGTTGTATTCCCCCTCCCAATATACTTTTTATATATTTATGTAGGCAAGTCAAAACTCTAGATTTATGAGTAGTTAATTTTGCAAGTACTGACATAAACTTTACAATATAAGATAACACAGTAATCAAAAGGTCTAGTTATAAAGATTATTAGAAGTTCTATTATGGCTTCATAATAGAATTATATTTCTTTTACTTTCTGTAGAGAGTACCCTTTTACTAGTGTAGGTATAGCTTTTCTCCCAACTTTTCATTTAAAAAAATTTATTTTATTGAAGGATCATATATAATGTTAATTTCTGCTGTACAGCAAAGTGATTCAGCTATACACACACACACATTCTTTTCCATTATGGTTTATTACAGGATGTTGAATATAGTTCCCTGTGCTATACACTAGTATCTTGTTCAGCCATTCTCTATTTAATAGTTTGCATCTGCTAATCCCAAACTCCCAATCCATCCCTCCTCCACCTCTCTCGTCCCTTGGCAACCACAAGTTCGTTCTGTGTTAGTGAGTCTGTATCTGCTTGGTAGATAAGTTCATTTGTGTCATATTTTAGATTCCACACGTAAGTGGTATCATATATGTCTTTCTCTGATTTACTTCATTTAGTATGAAGTAAATGTTGCTGCGAATGGCATTATTTCATTCTTTTTTATGGCTGAGTAGTATTCCATTGTGTATCTATACCACATCTTCTTTATCCATTCATTTTTTTTTTTTCTTTTTATGGTACGCGGGCCTCTCACTGTTGTGGCCTCTCCCGTTGCGGAGCACCGGCTCCGGACGCGCAGGCCCAGCGGCCACGGCTCACGGGCCCAGCGGCTCTGCGGCATGTGGGATCTTCCTGGACCGGGGCACGAACCCGTGTCCCCTGCATCGGCAGGCGGACTCTCAACCACTGCGCCACCAGGGAAGCCCAACATGTATCTTTTTGAATTATAGTTTTGTCTGGGAATATGCCCAGGAGTGGGACTGCTGGATCATATGGTAGCTCTATTTGTAGTTTTTTGAAGGCACCTCCATACTGTTTACTACAGTGGCTGCACCAATTTACATTCCAACTAACAGTGTAGGACAGTTCATTTTTCTCCAGACCCTCTCCAGCATTTGTTACTTATAGATTTTTTTTTTTATTGTGTCTACATTTTTTTTTAACATCTTTATTGGAGCATAATTGCTTTACAGTGAGTGTTAGTTTCTGCTGTATAACAAAGTGAATCAGCTATACATATACATACATCCCCATATCGCCTCCCTCTTGGGTCTCCCTCCCACCCTCCCTATCCCACCCCTCTAGGTGGTCACAAAGCACCAAGCTGATCTCCCTGTGCTATGTGGCTGCTTCCCACTAGCTAGCTATTTTACGTTTGGTAGTGTATATATGTCCATGCCACTCTCTCACTTTGTCACAGCTTACCCTTCCACCTCCCTGTGTCCTCAGGTCCCTTCTCTAGTAGGTCTGCGTCTTTATTCCCATCCTGTCCCTAGGTTCTTCATGACCATTTTTTTTTTTTTTTTTTAGATTTCATATATATGTGTTAGCATATGGTTATTTGTTTTTCTCTTTCTGACTTACTTTACTCTATGACAGTCTCTAGGTCCATCCACCTCACTACAAATGTTGCCATTCTGACCGGTGTGAGGTGCTACCTCATTGTAGTGTTGATTTGCATTTCTCTAATGATTAGCGATGTTGAGCAGCTATTCATGTGCCTATTGGCCATGTGTATGTCAAATGACTTGAGTTTTCAAAAGTATCTGAACTTAGGAGACAAAGACAAGTAAGTTTTAGAAAAGGACAACTTTTTACAATAACAACCAAATATCTCCAGGGAAGTTTACATAAAATGAAAATCAGCTCTCGTAAAAAGAAAAAAAAAAAACCGTAACACATGTTTGCCAAAAATATACATTTAAATAATCTATTTTAGAATTCAACCATTGTTTTGTCTTGCAAGCCTTATAAGAAAGGAATAACAGAGATGAGGTTGACTGGACAGGATGAAAAATATGTGGCTTTATTATTCTTTTTTCTCTTTTTTCTCTTTTCCCTTGACTTTGTTGACCAAAGAACCACCATGGCATTTCATTTCAGTTCTGACTTCAATTCCCTCACTTTTCCTACCCAACCCTTTTCTTCCTTGAGCTAGCAAAGATGTGTGACTCTCTTGGGGCACTTGTCTAGTTTCTGCCTCCCTCTGAAGATCTGATTGCTGGCTTTGAGCTTGCTTCACTGGCATCAGCCTTCCCACCATACCCAAGACTGCCCATCTCTAGGCCCTGGCAAGTACCTTATATGGACAGGCCATTTTGGCCCAGTATCATCAGGACCAGTTTGCCCTGACACAAGAGCATTTGATTGCTAAGACCAGTTTAGGCTGGTCAAAGGCCTGTAAGCAAGTGTTCAAAAATGGCTTACCTATCCTTTTCATAACCTTTATAGTCATTATTGTTAGTTTCTCTGTGGTTTCCAATAGGCTTTCAATCTGTAGTAAAAACAGTTGTCAACATTTATTGGGCACTTACTATGTGTGTGATCTGTACCAAGTCCTTTACATGTATTACTGTTTAATTCTCACAACAGCTGTATGAAAAGAGGTACAGCATTTCATACATGGAGATTAAGAAAAAGTCACCCAGAGTCACACAGCAATGTGGAGCTGGGATTCTAACCTTAGGAGGGGAATTTCAGAGTCTGCATTCTGGAATTCCCAAAGCCAACATTTCTCTCACCTTCTGGGACTACACACAGCCTTACTTTTTCCTTCTAGCCTGATGATTCTTAAGTAATCCCAACCCTGGAAATAGTTTGTTACACTTCCTCCTGTTTTCTCAAGGCCACATCGCTAGTCTCTGTACAAGTGAGGTAGGAAATACCAGAAGAGTGTTGTAATAGAAGCATGCACCCTTGTGGCAGAGATTCCCTGGATGTCTCCCAATACCTCTTCTCCCCTTTTTCTATAGTATTAGGATTTACCTGGGTTTGTGGCTGCTCAGGATAAGGACTGACTTCCCAGTCGCCTTTGCAGCTAAGATACCAAGTGTGGCCAATAGAGTGTGAGCGAAAATGGAGTGTAAAACCTTAGGGATCATGTCCCTAAAGGGAAAGGGCTTTCTCACACCTTCCCCTTTCTTCTTCTGGAATGTGGGGCGGTAGTGAGTCACTGAACTTTGCAAATGAGAGCACTACCAGGGGTGATGGAGCATAAAAGGAGCCAGGACACATGGAAAGAAGAGCCTGGACAGCACTGCTAAGTATTAGCAAAATGCAAATCACAACTACAGTAGAACTCAACTTGGAGATTACTCTTACTATTGAGTAAGAGCATAAAATCTTGAGTTAAAGTCTTGTGACTTATCTGCCGTGTGATCTTGGCAACTTCACCTGTGTGAAGTTACAACTGTGTGACCTTAACTTCACTTACCTGGTTTCTTTCGCTGTAAAATGAGGATAATACCACCTACCTCAGAGGACTGTGATGAAAAACAGGTGAGTTGATATATATCATTTAGTATATTCACTGTTATATATATAGTCAATGTAGCTATTCTACAAAATGACAATCACTAATTTTAGTGTTGGTGATGACCATAGTGCTTTCTACTGCCTCACTGTTTTCCCCTTTATAAGTAGAGGGATGTGGAGCTCACCTCCTCCCACAAATACATCAAAAAATCCATCCACATGTGGAATAGTTCTCACAGAACACCCACTGAATGCTTTCAGATCCCATACAACCAAAGCTTCAAGAAAGATCCCCATGTAACTGGGTAGGATGAAGGGAAAAGGGAGAAGATGAGGAATTGGGATGGGACCTGCACCCCTGGGAGGGAGCTGTGAAGGAAGAATGCTAACCTCACCCTGGGAACCTCCTTCACCAGCTGGGAGGTATGCCAGGACAGGTAGATGGGGAACTTCAGAGGCTGAAGAGGAGGGTATGGGAGTTGGCCTGAGGCACTGCAGGGTACAGAGAGACCAACACAGAAGGTCCTGACCACGTCACCACACTTCCCAGCCCAAGATGTGCGCCTGCTGGTGTGCAGAGCAACTGGGTGCTGAAACTCAGGCTTCAGCAGACAGACCCGAGGAGGGGACTCGGTTTGGTTGCACAGAGACAGACCAAAGGGTCTGGAGCATGGTCCGGACCATAACTGGGGGCGTGTGCATGTGGAGGTGGAGCTGAAAGCTGAACTGATAGCTGGCCATCCCACTGTGGTTGCTGGGATGCAGCTCTGGCAGGTTCCTGCTCTGGCGGACTTTTCACTGGAACCGCACACGTGTGCCTGAGGGCGCCCTGGGCCGACTGTCTGCGGCTTCAGGGGATGCAGCTCCAGTGGGTTTATGCGCTGGTGGCTTGGTGAGCGTGTATGCTCTGAACTTATTACCAGGGCCCCCAAGAGGAGGTGGGCCCAACGGGCAGCGCCAGCAACACTGATCTTTGTGGGTGCACACACCAGGTGGCAGGCGGCATCACAGAATCCCACGGCCTGGCAGGCAGCTCCTGGGGAGGAACATGCAGTGGCTCCTCTCCCAGAGGGAGCGCTCCAGTCCTGCCTACTTCACACCACAGCTTAGAACCAGATCTGGGGATTTGTACTACAACTGGGGAGCAGACCCTGCCCCTGACAGGGCTGTGACACCCACAGAGCAAAGAGGAGGACTTGCTCAACATCTATTATGGGCTCTGGTCACCATGACACTAATCACACTCCCCTATCAAGGGGATAATGGCCAGCACACACACAGGAAAGACGTGGCAAGCATCGATACCAAAAACAGCCCTTGCACCAAAGATATTGGACTTAGGCAGGCTACACTGGGATGCTCCCACATAAAAACAGCCCTTCCAGACCACAGTAGATAACTGCTTCTCCTAAATTCATAGTAAGCGAAATATAAGAAAAAAGAAGCAAAGGAATTACTCCCAATTAAAAGAACAAGAGAAATCCCCTGAAAGGACAGTGAAACAAACCTCTACAGTCTACCAGACCCTGAGTTCAAAAAGGAGGTAATAAAAATGCTGAAGGAATTAAGAAATGCTATTGATAGAAATGTAGATCACTGTAACAAGGAACTAGAAACTGTAAAGAGGAGCCAATCAAAATTAGACAACTCAGTTGCCGACATGAAAACCGAAGCTAAAGGCAATAAACAGCAAAGTAAATAATGCAGAGGAACAAATAAGTGATCTGGAAGATAGAATAATGGAGATCACCCAGTCAAAACAGCAGACAGAACATATGCTATCTATGGGATAATATAAAGCACACTAATCTACTACATCTAATAGGGTTCCCAGAAGAAGAGAAAAGGGGATTGAAAATGTATTCGAATAAATTATGGCTGAAAAGTTCCCAAACCTAAAGAAGGTATTAGATATCCAGGTCCAGGAAGCACAGAGGGTCCCAAACAAGATGAACTCAAACAGATCTACTCCAAGATATATCATAATTAAAATGGTAAAAGTTAGACAGGATTCTAAAGGCAGCAAGAGAAAAACAGTTATAAAGGAACCCCATAAGGCTATCAGCTGATTTCTCTACAGAAACTTTGCTGGCCAGAAGGAAATGGCAAGATATATTCAAAGTCCTGGAAGGGAAAAACCTGCAACCTAGGATATTCTACCCAGCAAGATTATCATTTAGAATAGAAGGAGACAAAAAGAATTTCTCAGACAAGCAAAAACTAAGAGAGTAAACAGCAATATTAAACCTATCTTAAAAGAAATATTGAAAGCTCTTCGCTAAATTGAAAAGAAGCAACAATCTATAGGAAAGGGAAAAATCACAATAGAAAAGGTAAATATATAAAAGGATTGAAGATCATTTAAATAAGACAGTACACAGTTAAAAAACAATCCAAAAAATTCTGTGAAAATGATTGAACAGAAAAGGATAAACATGAAGATGTAAAATAGGACATGAAAATCACAAAATGTAGGGAAGGGGAGTAAGAAATGTAGATCTTTTAGAATGTGTTTGAGCTCATATGACTACCAGTCTAAAGCAAGTAGATATAGTGACAGTTGACACAGTTGAAAACCAGAGTAATCACAAATCAAAAAAACATACAATAGATTCCCAAAAACCCAAAGGAAAGGAACTCAGGCATAATACAAAAGAAAACTATCAAACCACAAAAGGAAACACAAAAAGAAGAAAGGAACAAAGAAGAAATACAAAATCAACTGGAAAACAAGGTTTAAAATGGCAATAAATATATACTTATCAAAATTACTTTAAATGTCAATGCACTAAATGCTCTGATCAAAAGACATAGAATGGCAGATTGGATAATAAAACAAGAATCTACAATATACCACCTACAGGAGACCCACTTTAGGGTGAAGGACACACATAGATTGAAAATGAGGGGATGGAAAAAGATATTTCATGCAAATGGAAATGACAAGAAAGTGGGGGTAGCAATACTCATATAAGACAAAATAGACTTTAAAAAACAAAGGTCATAAAGAAAGATAAAGAAGAACACTGTATAATGATAAAAGGATCAATACAAGAAGAGGGTAGTACACTCATTAACATATATGCACTCAATATAGGAGTACCTAAACACATAAAACAAATGCTACCAAACATAAAGGGAGAAATTGACAGGAATACGATAAGAGTAGGAGACTTTAACACTGCACTGTCATCAATGGACACAGATCTTCCAGACAGAAAATCAATAAGGCAACAGAGATCCTAAATGGCACAATAGAACAGTTAGACTTAATTGATATCTTCAGGACATAACACCCCAAAAAACCAGTATACACATTATTTTCAAGTGCACATGGGACATTCTCTAGTATAGACCACATACTAGGACACAAAACAAGCCTCAACTAATTGCAGAGGATAGAAATTATTTCAAGCATCTTTTCTGACCACAACCCATGACATTTTTCTCAGAACTAGAACAAATAATCCTAAAATTTATACAAAACCACAAAAGACCCAGAATTGCCAAAGCAATTCTGAGGAAAAAGAACAAAGCTAGAGGCATAACCCTCCCAGACTTCAGACAATACTACAAAGCTACAGTAATCAATACAGTGTTGTATTAGCACAAAAACAGACATCTGGATCAATGGGACAGAATAGAGAGCTGAGAAACACACACACCTACGGCAAATTAATCTTCGGCAAAGGAGGCAAGAATATACCACGGAGAAAAGACAATCTCTTCAATAAGTGGTGCTGGGAAAACTGGACAGCTACATGTAAAAGAATGAAATGAGAACATTCTCTAACCCCATATACAAAAATAAACTCAAAAAAATGAACTGATATAAGGACCTAAATAATACCTTTATTTACTGATAAAACTGATATTGGAGAATGTGGTTAATATCTTCAGTCCAGTAAACTTATCACTGACCCCCGAATCAGACAGACTTACCTTGTCCCAAGTATCACTGTACTAGAGCAGGCCTCACCCTGCAGAGGTGAACTTGATCCTACAGGAGCAGAACAGAAAGAATGTTCTCCGTAGACAGGCTGGTCCCAAACAGGAATGCGGAGAAGTGGCTGGGCTACTTGGGCCTTGTTTCTCCTTTCACCTTACTTAATCACCTAGGTCAGGGTAGTTGAAGGAAGAGTGATTACAATGTTATGCTATTGGAGCTTCCTTCACATGGAGGAAAGAAATACTCCCTCTCAATATTTTAGCATATTTTAAATTGTAACAAATGAATAATTTACCTGTTTACTGTCTGTCTGCTCCAACTAAGATTGTCGGTTCCATGATAAGGAAGCCATGTTCAGCTCTGTGCACATGGGTACCAGCATGTTGTCTGGCCCACAGCAGGCATTCTTATTTACTGAGTGAGCAAATGTACTGTAGAGTTTATTACAATGGAACCTATATGGTCTTTATTTATTAATCCAACACAAATTTATCTACAGTGTGCCAAGAATTTTCTTAGGCAAGAGGATTCTGAGATATTTTGAATCAAAATACAGAAAGTTTTGTTTTGAAAACAAGCCAGCTGTTAGCTCTTTGAAAAAAACTTAGTTGGAGAGCCTCTGATTCTCACTCGCTGGACCATACAAGGTCAGTCTTTTGATTGCTCTATACTTTAGATTCCCTATTTATAACTAAACAAATTTGCAACACATACCAAAGAAATCCTGTATGATTTACAGTTGTTCAAGCAAACAAGAAAACTGGTTCAGTTTCTATGAGCTATCAAAAGGATAAAGACAAAATGCCTGTCTCAAATCAATCAGGTTTTGAATGGCATCTTTTCAACATAATGAAATAAAGACATATATAAAAAACAAAGACAAAATACACCTTCCCATTCTAAAACATTTCCTTTAGTCCATATGTACTTTAAATAATCTTGTATTAAGTTTCTACTGCAACTTTCAATGTTCAGAGTAAATCCATCCTGGCACAGTGTTTGTTCTAAGAAGTCAACAGCAGCAGGAGTAGGAGCATAATATAGTAGTTTCACTGTTATTTCCAGAGTCTATAAAATCCCAATGCTATTGCCAGGCAAGTAAACACTGAGGCTGTGAAAAGAAGAAAACATGTTATAGGTAATGCATTTGTGATTATCCTGCAGAGACAAAGAGAATAATGTCATCTTCAATTTAAATTGAAAGCAAAATCAGGAAATCCAACCAGTTTTCTTTTCTTTTTTTCTTTGCCTGCGTTGCGCGGCATGTGGGATCTTAGTTTCCCAGCAAGGGATCAAACCCACGCCTCCTGCATTGGAAGCATGGAGTCTTAACCACTGGACCACCAAGGAATTCCCAATCCAACCAATTTTCTACTTGAGGCTTTTAATTCCCTAGAAAATTAAGCTAAGGATAAAGGATATCCATTAGGGCTGGATTAATACCAATTCTTCTTAAAAGCTTCCTGTATTTTAAACCAGAATAAGGATGACAGTAATTTAAAAGTGTACATTATGTCAGTTAGAATCTATAAAGTGTTTAAAGTCGTTATTAACATTAGCACTATTAACAATGACTACTTTAAATAATTACGAACTAATTTTAGAAATAATTTATAAGTGAAAACCCACCTTTCTTACATGTACTAAAAAATTACATAGTTAAGCCAGTAAAATAGATATCCGTATCATCCATAAGAAAATTTTAATTGCCTTTTCAGTACATTTAAAAATGATTTCGTGCCTGCTGAGCTCCCAGGCCGGTCCCCTGCCCTCCAAGGCTCCCCCTCGCCACCCCCCCACCCAGCTGCATTGGTACTGGGGGCATAGGAAGGAGGCTGGGGAGATCAGGAGTGGCAGGCATGAGGGGCACTCCCAGACCCCAGACTGGAGGAGCAGGAGAGGAGGGCGTTTGCCCTGCCCACTCGAGCCCAGGAAGCCTGCTGGGCTCCAAGGTGAGGTCTCCTGCCCTCTGAAACGAGGGGTGGGGGGCACACCTGGGTTGCTTCTGTTCCTTGAGCCTAAGCCCTACCCCCCCAGAGCCCCCTGGGCCTTTTCCAGCCCTGTGGGTCCTGAGCATTGGCCCTGCCCATCGCCCAAACCTCACCCTTGCTAAGGTCCCGCTCTCCACAGCCAACGCCCTCCCCCCCATCTTTTTTCTTTTTCCCTCTCCTCCTCCTTTTTACTACTGTGGTACTGATGTCCCTTCCAGTTGTTGATTCATCTATATTTTAATTTTTACATTATTTCTAACATATCTGTTAGTTTCCTAGTCTAATTTTATTTTTTACTTTGTTATTTTTCTTTTTTTTTTTTGCCACCCCATGCAGCTTGCAGGATCTTGATTTGTGAGCCCGGGGTTAGGAGGAAGCTCCTGTGGTGGGAGCTCCAGTCCAAACCACTAGACTAACAGAGAACCTCAGACCTCAGGGAATATTCATCGGAGTGAGGTCTCACAGAGTTCCTCATCTCAGCACCAAGACCCAGCTCTACCCAATAGCCTATAAACTCGTGTTGGAAGCCTCAAGCCAAACAACCAGTAAAACAGGAACACAATCCCACTCAAAAAAGAAAGAAAAAAAAATGAGATGGCAAAAAAATATGTCACAGATGAAGGAGCAAGGTAAAAACCTACAGGACCAAATAAACGAAGAGGAAATAGGCAATCAACCTGAAAAAGAATTCAGAGTAATGATATTAAAGATGATCCAGAATCTCAGAATGTAACCACGGATTGAGAAAATACAAGAAATGTTTAACAAAGATCTAGAAGAACTAAAGAACAAACAGAGATGAACAACGCAATAACTGAAATGAAAAATACACCAGAAGGAATCAATAACAGTAACAGAGGCAGAAGAACAAATAAGTGAGCTGGAAGACAGAATGGTGGAAATAACTGCTGAGGAGCAGAATGAAGAAAAAAGAATGAAAAGAATTGAAGACAATATCAGAGACCTCTGGGACAAAACTAAACGCACCAACATTTGAATTACAGGGGTCCCAGAAGAAGAAGAGAAAAAGAAAGGGTCTGAGAAAATAATGTGAAGAGATTATAGTGGAAAACTTCCCTAATGTGGGAAAGGAAATAGTCAGCCAAGTCCAGGAAGCACAGAGAGTCCCATACAGGATAAACCCTAGGAAAAACACACCAAGACACATATTAATCAAACTAACAAAAATTAAATTCAAAGGAAAAATATTAAAAGCAGCAAGGGAAAAACAAAAAATAACATACAAAGGAATCCCCATAAGGTTATCAGCTGATTTTTCAGTGGAAAAAGTCTGAAGTCAGGCTCCCTGACTTCAGACTATACTACAAAGCTACAGTAAACAAGACAGTATGGTACTGGCACAAAAATAGAAATACAGATCAATGGTACAGGATAGAATGCCCAGAGATAAACCCACGCACATATGGGGACCTAATTTACGACAAAGGAGGCAAGAACATACAATGGAGAAAAGACAGCCTCTTCAATAAGTGGTGCTGGGAAAACTGGACAGCTACATGTAAAAGAATGAAATTAGAACATTACCTAACACTGTACACAAAAATAAACTCCAAATGGATTAAAGACTTAAATGTAAGACCAGACACTATAAAACTTTTAGAGGAAAACATAGGAAAAACACTCTTTGACATAAATCACAGCAAGATCTTTTTGACCCACCTCCTAGAGTAACAGAAATAAAAACAAACAAATGGGACTTAATTAAACTTAAAACCTTTTGCACAGCAAAGGAAACCATAAACAAGACAAAAAGACAACCCTCAGAATGGGAGAAAATACTTGCAAATTAAACAACAGACCAAGGAATAATCTCCAAACTATACCAACAGCTCATGGAGCTTAATATCAAAAAGACAAACAATCCAGTTAAAGAATGGGTGGAAGACCTAAACAGACATTTCACCAAGGAAGACATACAGATGGCCAAGAAGCACACGAAAAGATGCTCAACATCATTAATTATTAGAGAAATGAAAATCAAAACTACAGTGAGGTATATTACCTCATGCCAGTCAGAATGGCCAGTATCAAAAAAGTTAGAAACAATAAATGCTGGAAAGGGTGTGGTGAAAAGGGAACCCTCCTACACTGTTGGTGGGAATGTAAATTGATACAACCACTGTGGAAAACAGTATGGAGGTTCCTTAAAAAACTAAAAATAGAACTACTATACGACCCAGCAGTCCCACTACTGGGCATATGCCCTGAGAAGACAATAATTCAAAAAGAGACATGCACCACAATGTTCACTGCAGCACTATTTACAATAGCCAGGACATGGAACCAACCTAAATGTCCATCAACAGATGAATGGATAAAGATGATGTGGGACATATATACAATGGAATATTGTTCAGCCATAAAAAGAAATGAAACTGAGTTATTTGTAGTGAGATGAATGGACCTAGAGTCTGTCATACAGAGTAAGTCAGAAAGAGAAAAATACCGTTATACTAACGCATATATATTGGATCTAAAAAAAAAAATGGTACTGATGAACCTAGTTGCAGGGCAGGAATAAAGAGGTAGGCATAGAGAATGGACTTGAGGACATGGGGTGGGAGGGCAAAGATGGGACAAAGTGAGAGTAGCATCGACATATATACACTACTGAATGTAAAATAGTTGGCTGGTGGCAAGCAGCAGCATAGCACGGGGAGATTGGCTTGGTGCTTTGCGATGACCTAGAGGGGTGGGAAAGGGAGGATGGAAGGGAGGCTCAAGAGGGAGGGGATATGGGGACATGTGTATGCATATGGCTGATTCGCTTTGTTGTGCAACAGAAACTAACACAGTATGGTGAAGCAATTATTTTTTTAAAAATGGCAAAAAGAAAAAGTGATTTCATAATTATTAAAAATTTATAAATAAAAAAATGAAATTTTAATGGAAGCCCTTTAAAAAAAAACTCAATGAGGTAGAAGAAAAGGCAGAGAAAGCATCAGGCTTTTTATTTTTTTTTAAATTTATTTATTTATTAATTTGTGTTTGGCTGTGTTGGGTCTTCATTGCTGCCTGTGGGCTTTCTCTAATTGTGGCAAGCGGGGGGCTAATCTTTGTTGTGGTGCATGGGCTTCTCATTGTGGTGGCTTCTCATTGCACAGCATGGGCTCTAGGAGCACAGGCTTCAGTAGTTGTGGCACATGGGCTCAGTAGTTGTGATGCCTGGGCTTAGTTGCTCGGCGGCATGTGGGATCTTCCCGGACCAGGGCTAGAACCTGTGTCTACTGCACTGGCAGGCGGATTCTTAACCACTGTGCCACCAGGGAAGGCCCACATCAGGCTTTTTTAATAGTTAATATACCACCTGTTCTCTATGTTACATCATACTGGATAGAAAACCTTTCTGTTCTCCTTCAGAAGGTGAATTTGGGTGAGGCTTTTAGGGACTCCCTAGATTCCAGTCTGTTTAAACAGCCATGATTTTAAAATAGAGACTCTGAGATGAAGAGCAAACTTCTATGATTAAAGACACAAGAGGGACTTCCCTAGTGGCACAGTGGTTAAGAATCTGCCTGCCCATGCAAGGGACACGGGTTTGAGCCCTGGTTCGGCAAGATCCCACATGCCGCGGAGCAACTAAGCCCGTGTGCCACAAATACTGAGCCTGTACTCTAGAGCCCCCGTGCCACAACTACTGAGCCCATGCACCTAGAGCCCATGCTCCGCAACAAGACAAGCTACTGCAATGAGAAGCCTGTGCACTGCAACGAAGAGTAGCCCCCACTTACCGCAACTAGAGAAAGCCTGGACGCAGCCAAACAATTAAAAAAAAAAAAAAAGACATGAGAAACAGCCTTTCATAGCTAAGGCTATCCTATTTTTAATGTGTAAATCTAATTATACATTATCCCATTTGGTCACACTACTTACTGAAACTTCATTAATGACAAGATCATTTCCTTAATTTTAAGAAATGGGATTAGGTCTCTCTGAGACATAGTGGGAAGCTGGACAGTTGAGGAGAAAGAATAACAAACAGTTTCTTGTCTTGTTGCCACTGGTCAATTATACATTCTCTCATTTGATCCTACTACTTACCATGTTCCAGATAGTGTGCTAAAGAATTTCATGTATCACCTTATTTATCCATAATTAAAACCCTATGAGGTTAGTGATAGTATTCCCATCATACAGATGAGGCAACAAGCCCAAAGTTTTACTGCTAGCAAGTGGTGGACGCAGGACTCAACACTATGTGTACCTGTCTCCAAGGTAGTTGCTGTTGCTCTTAAAAATAAAGGGTGGTGCCTTCAGAACTGTTAGTTGTAAATCCTCAGTGAAAAAAGGAAAGGAAGATAACTCTTTAGGTAAATACACTAGAAGAAGCTGAGTGGAATACAAAGCTCTTCCTAACCTGGGGTGCTTTGAGGTCTATTTTGAAAGTGGGAATGAACACTGCAAACCGCTGATTTGGCATTTCCTGTTAGCATTCCTATCGGACAGAAGATCTCTGGTTCCAGAGACTTTGCTAGAATAGGGGTTTTCAAATCTTGTTTTAGCCTTAGAAGCCTTTCTTCAAATGGATCTTAGATGCTAAGTCATTCAAGTTGAAGAGAGGAAGGGGGAGTCGGGGTGTGCATCAGCTGAGGGCTAGGGGCTCCATCTCTACTCCTGCTGCCGCTTCAACATAATTAGTGCCTACCCAGAAAATCACTGATGGTATAAAGCAGCAATTTTATTTTGGACAATAACATAAAATTTTTAAATGTGCCTATCTTTTTGACCCCGATTTTTAGATGTGCATAAGCAATTTATTATATAGAAATACTAGCGTGATGGCATAAAGGGGTGTGTGTGTATTTACTCACACATATATAGGGCTATTTGGTCCAATATTTTTTTTTAATAAATTTATTTTATTTATTTTTGGCTGCATTGGGTCTTCGTTGCTGCACGTGGGCTTTCTCTAGTTGTGGCGAGCAGGGGCTTCTCTTGTTGCGGAGCACGGGCTCTAGGCACACGGGCTTCAGTAGTTGTGGCGTACGGGCTTCATTGCTCCACGGCATGTGGGATCTTCCTGGACCAGGGCTTGAACCTGTGTCCCCTGCGCTGGCAGGTAGATTCTTAACCACTGGCACCACCAGGGAAGCCCACAATATTGTTTTTAATAAAAACAGTTGGGAGCAGAATGTCTGTTAATAGAGGTTTGGATAAATAAATTATGGTATTTTCATACAATGGAATAGTATGTTTTCTAGTAAAAAAAAAAGTCTATATATGTATTCATGTGGAAAGATAATCAAAACCTTTGGTTAAATTTTTAGAAGTTGTACTCTGTACAGTATCATCTAATTACTATTTAAAAAATCTGCAATGTTCACATATAGAAGGAAAAGCCTAGAAAGATATATACTACTAATAGTAAATACATATGGGGAGGGAGAAGGCTTTCACTTTTACTATATTGCTTTTGAATTATATGAACAATTTAGGATGAAAATGTATTACCTTTTTATACAAAGAAAAATGTACTACTTGACTAGGGCATTCTTTCTAACTCCTTGGGGCTCTGTAAATTGGTCAGGTCTCATGGTACTTGAGGAACTCAGTATGTGACAAATAATCTAATTTTGGGTAGTATCCCTGCTCTGTCAGTTGGATTCAAGATAGGAGGCAGTTTTTGCCCCTTTGCTTGCTGTGGTTTTTAATGGTCTATATCTATTTTGGTGATCTTTATCTAAAATTTTTCATTTTTTTCATTGTGGAATACCCAGTGTATCTTTGCATCGTTGTTTATCTTTGACATCCATATGCTTTTTCCCATTAGGAGGATGCAGAGTTGCCTATTAAACTTACATTTTCCAAGTACTCCAGGGAACCAAACAATAAAGGAGATCTGTTACAGCTCCTCCTTTTTTTCCTTCTGTGCCCCATGGCTACCTTGGGAGGTAGGAGCTAATAAGTCTGAAAATCAAATGATAGTAATTCCTTTCTCTGACAAACACAGCCTTACCTGCAAGGTAACGAATTGTCTCAAGCTTGTTAGACTCCATTAGGGTTTTTAAAGAGGCAATTTCAGTGTCAATTTTGTTACCGGTCTCTGAAATAATACCTCTGGTTTTGGTATCCTGTAGTAATTAAGAATAAGACAATTAAATTTTGTCCCTGTGTACCATGGAGAAAAATGTTCACTTTAGAAATCCTCACTTATGGGCTAATTTTGAGTAACAAAAGTTTTAAGTGGGGAAACAGTAAAAAAGCACAGTGATATTAAAAAGAAAAAATAACACTACATGAATATTACAAATTGACAAAAAGTATTCCTTCTACTTTGATATTTGGAGACTATTTCTTAGGATTATCACATTCTGGGCACATTCTACTAAAAACCTCACAGGAAGATACAGGCACACCTCATTTTATTGTGCTTCGAAGATGTTGCATGCTTTTTTTAAACAAATTGAAGCTTTGTGGCAACCCTGAGTCAAACAAGTGTATCGGCGCCGTTGCTCACTTCATGTCTCTGTGTCACAATTTGGTGATTCTTGCAATACTTCAAACTTTTCCATTATTACTATATTTATTATGGTGATCTGTGACCAGTGATCTCTGATGTTACTATTGCAAAAGATTACCACACACTGACAGCTCAGGAGATGTAAGTTAGCATCTTTGTAGCAGTTATTTTTAAATTAAGGTATGGATATTGTTTATTTAGATATAGTGCCACTGCACACTTAATAAACTACAGTATATTGTAAACATAACTTTTATATGCACTGGAAACCAAAAAATTTGTGTGACTCACTTTATTTCAGTATTTGCTTTATTGCTGTTGTCTGGAAATGGACCTGCAATACCTCTGAGGTATGCCTGTATTTGAGACCTAAATATATGAGGATAAACTAAGAAGCAAAAATGTTAGTCACAGAACTATCACCTTATGTGTATAAAGTCCTTAGGATATCATAGTTAAAACTTTAAATATATTTTGCAAAAGGAAAAACCAACTGGGTTTATAATATGAACTGGCACCAATATTAAAGGAGATGGCAGAAATGCTTGTTGGGTAACACTGAATGCTATATGCATAGGGACTAAGGGGTAGAAAGAGAAATAAGATGATATTTAGAGCTCAGAAATTAGCTGGGAGAGAATTTGTTGATTTCCTTGTTTATCTCCTTTATCTGGCCAAGAAGTTAGAGAAGGGAATATAGGCTGCTTAGAACGGCAAATGGGACCTTCGTGTCTACTGAATTTTAATCAAGAGTGATGTCTCTTATGTTAGACTGTAGACCAAGTGACTTTTAACTTTTAAGAAAAGGACTAGGCTGAGTCAGAAAGCTAGGTTTTACTCAGCCACAGAGATTAAATAATGATCACAATTTAGGATTACTGAGAGGTAAACAGTAGTTATGAGTATGGAGTTTAGAATCCAGGTTGACATCTGGCTCTACCACTTTTTAGTTGTGTGACCTTAACTTCCTTCTGCCTCACTTTCCAAATTGGTAGAATGGGAATAGAGTGCCTACCTCACACAGAGGCTGATATAAGGATTAAATAAATTAATAGACAAAAAAGGTAAGTAAAACAGTATCTAACATAAAAATTTTTTATTTGACTGAACCTAGGCATTCATTGAAATACTAATTGTGAATCCTTGTCTTTTTAAAAAATAGTTCTCTTCCATATAAAAATAATTTAGTTAAAAAAAAGTATGCTACCTGGAAAGCTTGATTCTGACTCAGAAGTCACAGCTCAGGTACTCCCATCCACCTGGTAGCAGCTTCCCCCAAAGTACTGGTTAACTATAATAGCTATGAGGAAATCATGGAATCTATAGGGCTAGCTTGTTGAAGTCCAAACTTATAAAATGATACACATAAAGGCAGTTACATAAGGCATGAGAGCTATACAGAAGAGAAACTTTTACATAGCAGCTTACATTTTTGGCAAATTCTGTGGTTGCCTCCATAAGTTTCTTTTCTTGATCTGTAAACTAAACGATATGGTTTATCAAGAGGTTAAAAAAAAGACTAAAAGGAATTAAAAAGGAGTAAGTGCAAAAAAGTACATTTAAAAGCACATTACCATATCTGTTACTCTGCTCCTTTCTAGGTTGATATCCAGTTTATTATCTGCTCTGATTCGACTGGTTTCATTCTTTAAAGAAAAAAAAATATTCAAGAAGTGATCTTGTAATGAATATTTGTTCTGAAATTAATGAACTATTCTGAAGTGGGGAAAAAAGTTTCACTTACTATCAGTTGTTGCTTAACTTGTTCTAATTCAATTTTCATTTTCTAGGTATAAAGAAAGATCACACACAATTGCTGTTAAACCAAAAGTCCATATTATGATTTATTTAAAAAATCTGAAACCCTGCATAAGCAAAAATTGGACATTCTGTGGATTTCTAATACATTATCTGATAAAGAATAAAGACAAAAAAAGAACTAATAGTTCATCATATTCAGAAAATAATTATGAACATAACATTAGACAATGTATTTATGTTTCAATATAGTAGTCCCCCCTGATCCACTGGGGATATGTTCCAAGATCCCAAGTGGATGAAACCTCGAATAGTACTGAACCCTATACGTACAGTCAAATGGGTAGGTAGCATATACAGTGTGGATACACTGGACAAAGAGATGATTCATGTCCTGGGGGGAATGGAGTGGGATGGTGAAAGATTTCATCACGCTACTCAGATCAGTGTGACATAAACATATGAATTGTTTATTTCTGGAATTTTCCACGTAATATTTTCAGACTGCAGTTGACCACAAGTAACTAAAACTGTGGAAAGCGAAAATGCAGATAAGGGGGGACCTACTGTATTCTACTTAAAAAAAAAGATTGATATTCTAAATTTTAAAATATTTTAAGCTAGTGGGTAACAACAAAGTTCTGACTGAATTACAGAAACATTTTTCTCTTGACAAAATAATTATTACAGAACGAAAAAAGTGGAAAATGCTACATTACTGTCAGTTCTGAGAACATTATTCTGAACTACATTAGAAATTTAATAAAATATATGTAGCTCAAAGATTTCCTTTTGTGTGACCTGTATAAGATACAACTGTCATTCTTTAGTATGCAAGAAACTATGATGTATACATAGATTAGGTATGGTTAAACATGTATACTTTTATCTAAAAACTTGCTAATAATTATTTAATAACCACATGAAATAGTTTTGGGGTCCTATTCTTCACCAAGTAGGATACTTATGAAATCAGTTATTTTATTAGTAATAAACTGAGACTTGTATCACCTGGTTCTCTGCTCGCAGATTTGCAAATTCACTCTTCTCTAGGATGACCATGTCTTTCCTGATGGAGTCCAAATGAGCCATTAACTGTTGCACTGTTATTTCCTAAAATGCAAAATTAAAATAACTGAGTGATGCCATCCCCTTGCATGGAATTGTTCATGAAACTTTAAAAAAATTATTGTCTTGCTACAAGGTATAATGTTGCTTGGCTAAGTAAAAAACAAAACAAATGAAACCTATATATCTGAAATATCAAAATTAAAAGAAGTAGGAGATTCAAGGAAGAAAAAGTATTTCCCAGTGAAGAGAAACACATGTCTAGGTCTTTTCAATGAAAAGAATCCCAATTAAATGCTTACTTAACCTCCAAGAGCTCCTCAGCAAATACTCTTTTTTTTTGTTTATTTATTTAAAAAATATCTACATGGGAAAGTTTTTATCTTTCATTGCTTTGCTTTTTTTTTTTTTTTTTATTTTTACTTTTTGGCTGCGCAGCTTGCGGGATCTCGGTTCCCGACCAGGGATCGAACCTGCACCCAAGGCATTGGAAGCACAGAGTCTTAACCACTGGACCGCCAGGGAAGTTGATTTTGAAGGATCTTCAACCACCAGAAATTTCTAGGATACTGAATAAGACTTAGAAGTCAGGTAATAAAATAGAAGTATGGTTTAAATAATTGTCAGTATAACATAGTTTGGTTTAAATTCCTGAGTATCTTTCCTATATTTGGCACTACAGAGAATTTGTGAAAGAAAAGGTGGCCCCTATCTGATAGATTTTTGTTTTTTAAGTTTTTAGTTAACACCTCCATCACCACACAAGTTCTTTCTTTTTTTAAAATTTATTTTATTTATTTTTGGCTGTGTTGGGTCTTCATTGCTGCGTGTGGGCTTTCTCTAGCTGCAGTGAGCGGGGGCTCCTCTTTGTTGTGGTGCACGGGCTTCTCATTGCAGTGGCTTCTCTTGTTGCGGAGCACGGGCTCTAGGTGCGCAGGCTTCAGGAGTTGTGGTGCGCGGGCTTCAGGAGTTAGCGGGCTCTAGAGCACAGGCTCAGTAGCTGTGGTGCACGGGCTTCTCATTGCAGTGGCTTCTCTTGTTGCGGAGCACGGGCTCTAGGTGCGCAGGCTTCAGGAGTTGTGGTGCGCGGGCTTCAGGAGTTAGCGGGCTCTAGAGCACAGGCTCAGTAGCTGTGGTGCACGGGCTTAGTTGCTCCGTGGCATGTAGGATCTTCCCAGGCTAGGGATCGAACCTGGGTCCCCTGCATTGGCAGGTGGATTCTTAACCACTGCACCACCAGGGAAGCCCTATCTGATAGACTTATAAACTTTTACTTTGCTAGGGAGGGACATTTTTGTAGAAATGATTTAAAGCAGTCTTACAAGGCAAATATAACTTTAACCACTAAACTTCTCAAAATCGTGTAGTTTGCTGACTCATCTTTTATCTCTTTTTAATCAAAAGAAAAAGTAGATGAAGGTGTAACCTTGAAAAAGACCCTCTATAACAGGGTTTATAAACAAAACAGAAAAACTCAAACAAGAACAGAATGACTAGTGGAACTCCCAGTTTGTGGCTAGGAGTGCATTGTTGGGGTTACAGTCCTCCACTGACCACAATATGGGTGAGAAAGGCTATTTCAAAACTGCCTTGACGTTTAGAAAGCAGAGGCTACAGTAGTTCCAGATGCATGGCTATGGAATGACTCAGTCTTCAAAGGGTCTGGAATGCACACATCTTCTCAAAGAACAGCTGTCAGATGGCACAGCCACATAGACTGGAGGTTAAAAATGTGAGTTCTGGAGTCAGGCTGCCTGGGTTTGAATCCAAACGCTGCCATTTACTATGAGCCTTTGGGCACGTTATTTAGCTTCTTTGACCCCCTCTTTGCTGAAATGGGAATAATAACTACCTATATCTTATAGAGTTGTTTTGAGGACTAAATGATATAATGCATGTAAAATGCTTACAGTAATACTTGGTGCACAGTTAGCATTCAATGAAATCACTGTGATGAGACAGGTGTCTAATGGCTGAAGCAGGACAGTGTGACTCCAATGTTTTGATGTGGAGGGAGTTTTGCTTTAAATATTATTCCTATCATAAAATTAAAAAGTATTTTTTACTGTGTACAATAGACATCCCTGACTCTTAATGCTTTCCCTATCCCTCATCTATATTATTGGGGAGGGAGGTTCATTTTCTTTTATGCAGTTCTGCTTGAAATATTCATGAGAATTGCCTCAGAAGTCATATAGAAGTGGCCTTTAGGGTTGTCGGTCTTGTTCCCCCCAAATATCATTACGAAGGAGTTCGAAGACATTAACTATAATATTATTTTTGTTTAAGTCTTTAATAAAGTGTTATTTTATTACCAGAACTACATAGAGAAGAGTAGAAAATGTAACTACATACTTCTTAGAGACTCTGAACTTGAGAATAAGGAATTACTGTACTGTTGACTCTAAACTCTTTCTATCTCCCTTTCCGCCTTTAAATAGTTTGGGACTCAAAAAGCCTATAAGATAGCACGTATGTCCATCTTCAAAAACTTTAAGTGGAAAAATTTAATACAGTCAAATCTATTAAAAGTGTGATCATTGTAACTACTGTGGAGCCACCAGAGAATATGAATGTTATTCAGACTATAAGCAAATTCAGAATATAACCACATTCTCAGACTGAGCACACTTGACTTAGCATGGCTCTTTCTGAAGTGATCAAGTATGAAGCTTGTTTGCCTCATGGCCTATGGCTCAAGGATGGAATGGGATTTTGATTTCATACACCAGTAATAAAAAACCCAAAAGTTCAGTAGTAGTGTTCCTACATCCAATCCAACATTTTAAATGTAAGATTAAATGGCCCTGGCAGCATAAAAATTCCTCAAAAAAGTTTTAATTCACTGATTATATTGCAGAGAAACTTAAAAATCTGATTTAAGAGTACCATTAGCTCTTTCAGGATAGCTCAAAGGTTTGGGGGGGATTAAATGAGTGGCTTTTTCTTTGGTGGATGTAATATTAATAGTCTGTTATGATCCTGAATAAATTTAGCTAAAATAATACACATACAAATTTAAAGTTAAGTTAAATCTAGGGACTGTATGGTTTTAATTCTAAAGACATAATTAATTGGATATTACAGTAAAAATCTTTTTAAAATTTCGCTCTTTCTTCACCTTTGAAGTAATGACATTTTATGCAAGAGCTCCTAATTTTATGTAAGAAAGAAATCCTAATATTTCTCTGCTGTGAACTATTTATCTGAAGAAGAAAGCCTAAATTAAAAAAATTAAAATTAAAAAAATTAAAATTAAAAAAATATAACCAGAGAAAGAAAACAGATTCTTAAACACAGTAATTAATTCATGATAGACAGATTTTGAATTATTATTCTACAGTTAAGTTCATTTAGCTTATTCTATCCTTCATATAAAATTATTGCTTTTTGTCCATAGCACCACAATGACAACTCTTGCAAATTTACTGAACCTCTCTGATCCTTTCTTCAGTGGTAAAATAGAATAATTCTACCTACTTTTCAAGGTTGTTAGAGAGATTAAATAAGATCATATATGAGCAGTCCCCAGCACTGCCTCTCACTTCTTAAGTTCTTAGTAAATGGTATTATTTGGCTTTTAAGGATTCAGGTATCTGGTCAGATTAAAGCATCTTAGCCAGGTGATTTATGAACTCCTTCCCAGCCATGTATGTTGGAAACTCCTTCCAGCTTTCCAACTTTGTGAAAATTAACCAGAACATACACATGACTGCAGTAAACTGGTCAGCTCTTCTACTGTGGTGGGCTTTCTATGTGGAAAAAGTTGTTTAACTAACAACCTATCACCATCCCATGACTCAAATAATATAACTATCTTACACAATGAAAGATCTGACAAAATTTTACTCTTTGTGTTACCATAATTTTGTGATGACTATTCTAACTCCTCAGTCTCTCTGGATACTGACTTTGCTACATGTTTTTTGTTTTTGGTTCCTTTAGAGAGAATAATAAGGAAGATGCAGGTGTGTTTAGAAGGTGGGTGGCTAAACAGAGATGCAGTTATGAAAAAGATTGTCTAATGAAACTGTCAGAAGTGATAAAAATGAAAACATTACCTGTTGAGCTTGAGTGACCATCTCCTTATAGATAGTATCGAGGCTGACATTTGATAAAATGGTTAATGCTGATACAATTGTTTCTGCTTGTGCTTTGTCAAATCCTATAAGCGGCAAATAGGTATTTATATTTTTTAAAAAGTGCACATCCTTCTCAAAATAGACAGCTAGAATAACTTCTATCATTTAAATTTTCATGCAGTTGACTCTTGAACACATGGATTTGAACTGAGTGGGTCCACTTAGATGCAGATTTTTCTCAATAGTAAATACTACCATACCACACAATCTGTGGTTGGTTGAAGCTGTGGATGTGGAATTGCGGATACAGAGGGCCACTATAAAGTTACATGCAGATTTTTGACTACACAGGCGGTCGGTGCCCCAACCCCTGTGTTGTTCAAGGGTCAACTGCAGTCTTTTAAGAAAATGGTTATAATTAAAAATCGACAGATTATGCTAAATTATTCTCTAAAGAGCACTCTCCAATTTTAATTCCACTGATCCATTTCCCCACATTTACATCAACATGGGTATTACTAGTCTTTTTTGAGTGTATAATTAACATTAAAATGGTATTGCATTGTTATTTTAATTTATACTTAAAATTTGCATTTCCTTGATTAAGCATCTTTACATACATTTATTGGTAATTTATTTTTCTGTGAGCTGTTTATGGCCTTTGTCCATTTTTCTATAAAACTGCTTAACTTTTCTTATTGATTCATATGAATTCTTTGTATGTTAAAGCAATATAGTTATATTTATAGTTATAAAATATTGTCTATTACCCATGTGTTGTACAATATATCCTTGTAGCTTATTTTATACGTCTCCCTTTTCTTTTTTTTTTTTAACATCTTTATTGGAGTATAATTGCTTTACAATGATGTGTTAGTTTCTGCTTTATAACAAAGTGAATCAGTTATACATATACATATACCCCCATATCTCCTCCCTCTTACGTCTCCCTCCCACCCTCCCTATCCCATCCTTCTACGTGGTCACAAAGCTCTTAGCTGATCTCCCTGTGCTATGCAGCTGATTCTCACTAGCTATCTATTTTACATTTGGTAGTATATATAAGTCCATGCCACTTACTCACTTTGTCCCAGCTTACCCTTCCTTCTCCCCATGTCCTCAAGTCCATTCTCTACGTCTGCATCTTTATTCCTGTCCTGCCCCTAGGTTCTTCAGAAACTTTTTTTTTTTTTTAGATTCCATATATATATGTTAGCATATGGTATATGTTTTTCTCTTTCTGACTTACTTCACTCTGTATGACAGACTCTAGGTCCATCCACCTCACTACAAATAACTCAATTTCGTTTCTTTTTATGGTTGAGTAATATTCCATTGTATATATGTGCCACATCTTTATCCATTCATGCAGCTCAATATCAAAAAAACAAACAACCCAATCCAAAAATGGGCAGAAGACCTAAACAGACATTTCTCCAAAGAAGATATACAGATTGCCAACAAACACATGAAAGAATGCTCAACATCATTAATCATTAGAAAAATGCAAATCAAAACTACAATGAGATATCATCTCACACCAGTCAGAATGGCCATCAGCAACAAATCTACAAACAATAAATGCTGGAGAGGGTGTGGAGAAAAGGGACCCCTCTTGCACTGTTGGTGGGAGTGTAAATTCATACAGCCACTATGGAGAACAGTATGGAGGTTCCTTAAAAAACTAAAAATAGAACTACCATATGACCCAGCAATCCCACTACTGGGCATATACCCTGAGAAAACCATAATTCAAAGAGTCATGTACCACAGTGTTCACTGCAGCTCTGTTTACAATAGCCAGGACATGGAAGCAACCTAAACAGTGACTCTTAATTGTTCATAATGGTGATGTTGTCTTGACTAGGTAATTTGTTATGAGTACCGTTGATATTCTTTCAAAAGGGACCCATGTTTCTCACCATGAGTTTCCAAGTCCTGAACCAATGCATGCGTATCAAACGTTAATTTCCTTTGTTCTAAAGGAGTTATGTCCACTCGCCTCATATCATATCCTTCCTTGGCTGCGGTGGTGAAGAAATCTGAAAAGAAAAGGCAGTTTTTTTTGTAGTAACTAATAGAAGCGTCACATTTTAGCTTCTAAAGCATTCCCCCCCATCTATTTGTAATACAGTTCCAGCTCTTCTACTTGGGAATTCTGTAATTTCAAGCAAGATAAAGGACTTATCTGAGCCCGATTCTTTTTTTTTTTTTTTTTCCGGCCACGCCGTGCAGCATGCAGGATCTTAATTCCCCAACTAGGGATTGAACCCATACCCGCTGCATTGGGAGGGTAGTCTTAACCACTGGACTGCCAGGGAAGTCCCTGAGCCCCTGATTCTTTTATCTGAAAAGTCTCTAACATTATTCTGTACATAGTAAACATTCAGTAAATGTTTGTTGTCTTTTAGTATTCCAAAATTTTAAGAGTCAGTCTAACATCATAACATAATATACATCAAAAGCTTTGGGGGGACTTCCCTGGTGGCGCAGTGGTTAAGAATCCGCCTGCCAATGCAGGGGACACAGGTTCGAGCCCTGGTCTGGGATGATCCCACATGCTGCGGAACAACTAAGCCCGTACGCCACAGCTACTGAGCCTGCACTCTAGAGCCCGTGAGCCACAGATACTGAGCCCGCATGCCACAAGTACTGAAGCCCACATGCCTAGAGCCCGTGTTCTGCAACAAAGAGAAGCCACCGCAATGAGAAGCCCGCACACCGCAACAAAGAGTAGACACCGCTCGCCTCAACTAGAGAAAGCCCACGCACAGCAACAAAGACCCAAAGTAGCCAAAAGTAAATAAATTTATTTAAAAATAAAAAAAAGCTTTGGGTACTGCTGGCACATCTCTAATTACTGGAGAGCAGAAACTGTCCAGCAACTCTCCTTCTTGCTCAGAAGTCTTTCATAGAGCTGTGATAAGTTTTAGACATATACCCCCATCTAAAATAGATTTCTGTCCTCCCACTCTTATATATCCACAGTTTATTTCCTACACAGTTCTCAGTTCTAATCTGAAATTATCTTGTTTACTGCTTGTCTCTCTGAACCAGAATGTAAGTGCCATGAGGCCTGGACTGTGTTTTTCATCTGTATCTTTAGTACCTAAAACAGTGCTTGGCAAATAGTTGGCTCACAGTATTTTATTGTTGAATCAATCAGTGAATCAGATTTTAAATCCGGGAGTATTTAGTGGTATCAACACAAAAGACCTAGGATGTTGTTCTCATTTTTGAAATAAATGTCCTATTTCAATAAATTCCCAATTTTTAACCTAGACACAGAATGGTTCTTTTCCATCTACTGCTGATGAATTTATTAAAAAGTATTTTCTTTGGGGGAGAACTCTGTCTATACACAACTTTATTGCCATTACTATGTATTATGTAAAATAACTGCTAATTAGTATAAACTACTAATCAAACACAAGGTACTATACTAGATACTTTATATACTACCAAGGCATCGTGGTATTATTCACCTTTTTAGATAAGAAAATCAAGCCTAGGAAAGGTAAAGCCTAAGGTTTTGCCTAAGGTCTTGCCTAAGGTCATAGAGTCTCTGGCAGAATCAGGATTCAGATCCAGGTCTTTTGACTCCAAATCTCATGCTCTCTTACCCCATGCTGTCTTTTTTTATCCTAAGCCACTTAAGACACCTAGGTACTTAAAAGACAAAGCTGCAACCTCAGGTATTACTTTTCTGCTAGTATAGTGTAAGGCAAATGTGATTCCTTCCTATATAACTTTCTAGTCAAGAAACATCTGAGTGCCAGGCACTGTGTTAGGCACAGGGGATGATGAGCAAAACCAGACATAACAGATGTCTTCATTGACTTTATAGACTAATAAACAGGAAACAGATGTTTTTTAAAAAAATCTAAACATAAACTCTAAATTCAAATAATGAAAGAGTAATGTCTAGTCCTTTAGATTAATTCATTCAAGTACTCAGATGAATTCTGGTTAACCAGAAATAAAAGGAAGCAGATGTAAAGGTGGATCAATTTTGAACACATACACACTCATTAGCACAGAGGTCAGCAATCTTTTTGGCTTTGAGTGGCATCTAGAAGAGTTAAGCAGTGTGCCTGTGGGTCAATATTAAACCTAAGGAGGGAGAGAAAAAGAAAACCAGAGGAAAAAGAGGGGCAGATTTCTATAACAACTGCATTAGGAACAATGATTGGTACCCTTAGTTACCTATCCTTGATTAGAAGTTGATTCAGTTGATTAGAAGTTCAGTCTTTTATTTGGGGTTTAGGGGAAAAAATCAGTAATAATATTTATACAACATGTTACTATTTTCACACCTATTACTTATCCTTAAAATTCTCATGTTGTGGATGAGGAAAACTGAGGCTCAGAGGAGCTAAGTAATTTGAGATCTTATGGTCTCAGAGCAAGGCATATTAGTACACAGTTCCTCTGACTTCAGTCAACAAACTTTGAATACCTTCCACAAAGAGAAGCTTCCTACATGTTGACTGAAAAAAAAAAAAAAGTGCAACCTAAAAGTTGAGAATTATGTTTTATTCAGTGGATTTTCTGAGGACTTAAGCCTGGAGGACAGCCTCTCAGATCGTCTGAGAGACTGCTCAGAAGAGGTAAGGGAGGAGCCAAGATATACAAGAGTTTTGCAACAAAAACCCGGTAGCTGGAACATCAAAAGATTACTGTTAAAGAAAACCAGACATCTCAAGTTAATGAATTTAGCACTTTTCTATGTATGGGAAGATGCAAGGGTCTGGGCTCACTGAAATCATTCCTTTGATATGCACCTTAACTATCTAGGACCAGTGTCCTGCTTTTCTCCATCCTGAATCCCCTCAGAGTGCATGGCTGAGGGTGGCTGCAGTGGCTGGTGGCTGCAGCATCCTTCGTTTACTGATATGGCAGGCAACATTTTTCATCCACAGTGCCTCACCTTGCTCATAAATTCAACCATCATTTGGGAAGCATTTCATGACCAATTTTGTCCCATGGTGCTAGGAAGGCTTGTCCCCAGATCAGGTAAAGATTCTGTTGATAGGCTATACTCAATGTGTTAATTTTTGGATTAGGCCCTGTTGATAATCTAAACTTCTCTGGATCACCTGTCTTACTAGTCTCTTTTGATCCAGGAAATGTTTTCCCCTGTTGCTTCTTCCCATAACTAGAGTTGTACTATTACAGTTATTTTATGTAGGTTATCTATATATAATTAACGGTCTGAAGATTTTTAGCCATCATTAATTTTGTTGGAGACCTGGTTACACATTGGGTAATGCAAAAGACAACAATTTTTTTTTTCCCCTGGCCACGCTGTGCAGCTTGTGGGATCTTCCCTGACCAGGGATTGAACCTGCAACCTCAGCAGTAAAAGCTTGGAGTCCTAACCACTAGACCACCAGGGAATTCCCCAGTAGACAGTAATCTTATAAAACAGACGGGATGTAGGTAACACAACTAGTACAGCTTTATACATTAATAAAGTCACAGTATAGCAGAGACAGAAAGCATAAACAAATTGAAAACAAGGAGAACAAATTAAAGCAATGATTAGTATAACTAGTTGTAATCTGGTTGCAGTAAACCATCAAGTTCACAGGGGAGCCAGCTGGAGAAGCCAAATTCTGGAAGGATCAGGCAGAGAGAAAATGATATATATTTCATCTTTGTTTACAAAGGTATACTTTATCAACTTGTTGTAGGTCACAGCATAAGAGGAAAGCTTTTCCTGTTTTCCTGGAAAACAAGGATTAAAATCCAGTATGTTTCAGAAAAAGTGATAAAATTATAAATCATATTCATCAGTTCATTTAGTCTCATGTAATTAATTCCTGAAGATCTGAATGCAGTCATCAGGTCTCCCATCCGAATTCTGTAATTTCTTACCCAGTTCAGTGGTATGATCTGAAAATTATCAGAAACTTATATTTGTGAAAAAGTCATTTTTGGGCTTCCCTGGTGGCGCAGTGGTTGAGAGTCTGCCTGCCGATGCAGGGGACACGGGTTCGTGCCCTGGTCTGGGAAGATCCCACATGCCGCGGAGCAGCTAGGCCCTTGAGCCATGGCTGCTGAGCCTGCGTGTCTGGAGCCTGTGCTCCACAACAGGAGAGGCCACAACAGTGAGAGGCCCGCGTACCGCAAAAAAAAAAAAAAAAAAGAAAGAAAAAAAAAAAGTCATTTTTACGAATCTTCTTTAAGATCTTCATTTTATAAAAGCATCACAGTAAAACAATGATTGTTTACAAACAAGACTTAAAATGGCACGGTTAAAGATCTGATTACAATGCAATTGACAAGAAACTTGGATACTTCTGTGACACACATTTTAAGATAATTAGACTTATGACTGATAACTTATACCAGGGTACATCAGATTTTTAGGTATTCCATATAAATTTTGGAATATCTGTATTTATGACATTTATCTATACACTAAAACCTATGGTTCATCTCCAATCACTTGATGATGCTTCTCAAGTAATTTAACATACCAAACAAGCCTAATTAGTTTAATATTCTTCTCTGAGATGTCTCAGGGTTCCTTCAAAGCATCCCAGAGTTAGCTGGAGGTCAAAAGAACTTTAGCTAGAATTTCATATTTGGGGGACTTCCCTGGTGGTGCAGTGGTGAGGAATCTGCCTGCCAATGCAGGGGACAGACACACTTCCCCTGGTCTGGGAAGATCCCACATGCTGTGGAGCAACTAAGCCCATGCGCCACCACTACTGAGCCTACACGCTACAGCCTGTGAGCCAGAACTACTGAGCCCACGTGCCACAACTACTGAAGCCTGTGTGCCTAGAGCCCTGCTCCACAACAAGAGAAGCCACTGCAAGGAGAAGCCCGCACACCGCAACAAAGAGTAGCCCCCACTTTCTCAACTAGAGAAGCCCGCGCACAGCAATGAAGACCCAACACAGCCAAAAAAAAAAAAAAAGGTGTTAGCAGAACTATTAAA